CAATGACAGAAGCAGTCCCTTGATTGTGTTTGATTGATTTGCTTCGTTGTAAGCAAGGAACGACTGTCTATATATTTTATGTCCCGCTATAAATATGGTTGTACCATAGAAGTCCCCATCTTAAGAACAGGGTATGGTAGAGGCCAAATTTGGCCCCCATTTTGATATAAAAATCAAAACACAGTTAAAATTGTGATAGTTTGCAATACGAAGCTTAAATGATGCTTGTTTTTAAAATCAGCATTACTTTTTATTCGAAACATACACGGAGATCGCAAGAAGTTAACAAAGTAAAACACTTTACCAAATTTTCTCATTTTTGATGGATTTTCGTCACATTTAAGATACTTTTCACTTCGGCACCACTAGGTGGTTTCTATGCACAAAATATATTTATATATATGATGCTAGTGCTAAGTTCATGTATACGATTAATATTTTTCAAACGAGACAATGTATTACATTAAATTTTAGGATATGAAGTAGTAGAACAATACTTATTTTTTTGAACGTTTAAATTTTATTTCGTTTAAGCGCCATTTGTTAGAGGTACGTCTATATCCATTATAAAGTGTATAATATTTAAATAACTCAATTTTGACGCTGCTCCTTGACCCCATTTTTGCTGTCTTAAAGCTGATAATTTCAGAAGACAGACTTCATTAAAAGAGCTAAAAAACGATGACGTCGAAGGACGTCACGGAGCAGCTAGGAGCGATAAAATTTTGCGTTGCATTTGAGAAACCTCTCAAACAAACTGTGAAAATGCTGGATGAACCAGGAACTATATCAAAAATGAGCCGTGCATTTGTATATATACATGGAAAAGACAGTTTTTGAGTTGTAGAGACTTTGAATCGGACTTTGAATCGGACGATGGAGAATCTGCAAAGAAAAAGATTATTAGAATAATCTGGTCATAAGAATAATCTGGTCAAAAGAGTTTGTAACGTCATGAAACGTGATGTGCGCTGCCGAACTCGTGGAAGCAGAGTTACGCGGTAAAGAATTTGAAAACACTAACAATCTAACTTAACTACTCGAACAAATGTTAGCAATCTAGTTGTCAAGTGTTATGGATACGTTTTTATGAATGGGTACTTTAAGACGCTACAAATAGTGTGTAAAATGAAAAGACAGAGTAATTTTGTTTTTGACGTTACAATTTTGTTAAGCGTGACAAAACATGTTGCCTTCAAAATTGAGTAACGGAGTTCCATTTTCAAACAAATGTAATGAAACTTCACACATCGACAAAATAAATGTTTTTTTTACATATGAAGATGTGTTGACCATATATCTTGTAAAAAATATTATAATGATGAGGGACATTATCTATGTATTTTTTTAATGACCCACGTGCATTTAGAAATGTACTTTAATGTAAATCTTAAGTATATAGAACATTTAAAAAGAGTCAAGAATTACTCCAAGTCTAAACATAGTACATAATAATTGTTTCTATTTTTAAAGAGACTCATGATGATGTTCATGAAAACAATAAGTTTACGGCTGTAATTTATTTCTTAGCCTTTATTAGTTAAAAAAAACTGATACTATTAACATAAATACTTATGAGGCACGGGTATAGATGGCTACTTTAAAGAGATTTAGTTTTCTCCAAAAAAGTAAAATTTTAATAGCATATCAGCCATAGCATTTTTCTGCGTTATACATCTTAAGTCTTTTTTGGTGTAAATCATAGTTTAAATGTACTTTTTCAATTTATTTTGATGAGTATATTTATCCTGCGTCATACACTGCTTCTTAAGTCTTTTGGAGCGGATCATAGTTTAAATGTACTTTTTCAATGGTTTTAAATTTATTTTTCTTTCATGTACAAATAATTAAGTCTGTTCTGTATATGAGTTTTATCATCAAAGACCCACATCTTATAAATATCGTATGTCAAAGAGCTGTTCAATAAATGAACTAGTTCCTCCGGTCATATATATGAAATTGGTCTTGATTATGATCAGATACAAGTACATTAACTTTCAAATGAAACACCAAAAAGGCATTCTAAGCAAACGTCTAAAAAAATCTAACCAAAAACAAAACGTACTCAGTACTCTAGAGTTCAATGATTTCAGTCTTTCAGAGCAGGTCCCGGGATCATGAAACATCTTAAGCTTAAGTCAAACTCTTTCAGTTGTATTATGTTGTAGACGTCAAGCAGACCAAAATTAAAATATTCTTCATTAATGCTTCTAAGTCTGTTTCATGAACTTTGTGTCTGGACTCTTACCTTTATATTCTGTTTACCTAGAGGTGTGCCATACCCCAGTAACAAATGCATAAATATATAGTTTATTGCTTTACTGAATATGTATTGTTTTACAGACTAAATGAAGTTTCTGTAAAGACGGAAATTTTAGTATCTGATCTACAACCCACTCTGAATCGACAAGAGCTGTGCCATCTTCGGTTCATGTTTTGTTCTTTGCCATTTTCCATTACGTTTAAAGCTTTCTTCATTGCTTGAGAGATTAATACGAATACATAGTTACACTTGTGCATATAGACAAATACCACAGAGACGGGGATTTTATTTCTAAACTTTGTGAATTAGAAATTTAACAGAATCTGACCACATACATGTAGTACCACAAAATAAAGACATTTTAAATTGAAATGATAAAAAAAAAAAAGAACAGAAACTGTTGGCGGTGATAAGGTTTGTTTCTTTTTACTTTGAAGCATATTATCCAAGATATGTGAATTTGCCTTTGTAAATCACCAGAAGGCAGATTTTACGGATGAAAATAGAGAGCCTCGAAACAGAACAGAGTCCTTTATGATCAACATCAAACTAGATCAGCCTTTTTAAAGTGTTACCAATACTAACCATAAAAACGTGTCGTAAGTTTAACAAGCATTCTGAGGGTATTGCATTAGCAATACAAGTCCCCTACCGGCAAGTGTAATCTGGTTCCCTTTAAAAATTGAAAATGCCATAATTCCGTCAAAAATCAATGATGCAGAATGTAAATCTCATCAAGATACACTCACATACCAAAAATCTGCTCAATATCTGCAAGCGTTTAGGAAAAAATTTGCGGAAAACTAAGTTTGACAGAGGGACAGACAGACGGACAGCTAGACAGACAGCTAGACCGACAGACGGACGGACAAATGCAGAGGAAACCTAAAGTCCCCTCCGGTTTCACCGGTAGGGGACTAAAAAATGCCAAAAAAGGATGGTCAATAGCTCAGTTTTTCAAATTACTTCAATATTGGCATTTACACACTTGAGGAGAAAACATAGCCCACTGAACTTCAAAACAGGATCAACTTAAAGAATTAAAAAGCATTGTCCTAAATATTTCATAAGTTTAATTTGAAAGCGGCAGAGATAAAAGTATAACATGTCTGGGGCTTGAATTTGTGGTAACATCACAAAATATTGCACTTTAATGCTACAAAAAAATACAAACAAGAACAATTTAGATTTGAAAATGTATTGACATGATTTGCAAAACATTATTATCTTATAAGAAATAGTGATGTTAAAATGTCATCTTGTTACATACAATTTCTCTTTTATCGTTGTTCTGAATCTCCCGGAAGCTGGCCGTTGTACGATTATAAAATTATATTGATATCAATAATTCTGGATTGTGCTGCCATTTTCAATGTTTTATACAGTTCAATATTTACATTCAAACTGTTCTCTCTGTGATAACTCTTGGAAGGTTACATATGTTGATTTCTGGATATTTAAATTTCGCAAAGTGAAAGGTCAAGTGTTTAATATGCATGTCAATTTTCTGTCATTATGTCTCACGTCAGGGCGGGGACTGCGGAGATTAGTATACAAATAAAGCCCTTTCATGAGGTCCTAGAATTGTCGACTTCACAGAAATGCATATAGACCGAGCACGAAGTGCGAGGTCAATATGCTTTTCTTTGAAGTCGATATATCTAGGAATTGACGGAATGAAAGGGCTACATTTGTTATATTATTTTTTACAGAGATTGACAAAACAAATTTTGGAAATAATCAGAACAAGCCACAAATTTTCTCTCTAACTTTCTGTCTAAACAATTATTACAGAACAGACAATTATAATCAGGAGTTGAAATACATATATATATATATATATATATATTCAGAAACATCAAGTCATACACTGAATTAACTATTGTGAAGTCAGCACAATTGTTATTTTCTAGAACATTATATCCATTTTTAGAAATATTTTCCATTTTTCTTAGAAACATCAAGTCGATATGCATTTCAGAATCTTTAAATAGTAACACAAGTCAATATGCTGTTATATACTAGACATAGTACTTGATCATGTGATCAAGTTTGAGTCAATCAGAGAGCTTGGAATAATAAACTTAAGAAAAACAATATCATGGAACAGCGGGTGAATTTTATATCTATTAGCATTTCTTTTAATCTATATTTTCTTTTTTTCACATATGAATATAACTACATGTATAAGGAATCACTGCAGGGCGGAGCCCGTTATGCAAATCATCATACGTTTCCAAATGTCGTTAATGCCCTGACATACAATAAACTTACAGATTTATATATAACTTACAGACAATTAAGTGATTCCTTAAAACAAGTCTGTTGTACTAGACAGAGAATCAACCGACTATCAGAACACTATCTATTTTATGGTTTAAAAAATGACTAATTATAAACAGAAACATATACCTGAATAAAAAAAAGTTACATCACTGTAAATTTCGTTTAGTCCGAAATATTACCTTTCAAGTTAAGGTATAATAAAGCAGGACAACTTGTGTAAATGATTTGTATATTTTTATTAATCATAAAAAAAGTTAGTTTGGCTGACTAACTATCAAGAGTTTAATTTGATTTTTAAAGAAATTGAAGTGGCATTCGTGAACGTGAATAAAAGACTCTCTCACTCTCTCTCTCTGAGGCACAAACACATACAAAATACAGTTTTGCAGACTACAGACACAGTGAAGTCTGATAGTCACATACCAAATACAAATAGAACAGTACGATTCACTTAATTATAGATGTCTTCCACGCAGTATTTCACGAAAAGCTGATCGGAATTCTGGACTACCAAAATTATACAGAAAAGGATTCAAAGTAGAGTTTATGTAGGTCAACCAGAATGTTATTGAGTATATCGTGTCTGACACTAGATCTGGGCGTATTGCTGTGACGTCATAGACAACATGAAATGGTACCCAGCAAATGATGTATCCAACGATGATGTAGGTCAAGGTTATAAATACTCGAGAATCTTTGATGGCTTTAGAGGCTTTTGTGTCGTTGGTTTGATTTCGAGCTGTTTGATGGTTATTGTTAGTGCTTCTTGATTCTGAATTTGTCGAGTTTACTTTTTCCAAATTAGGAATTTTGAGATGATTATTGTCTGTTTTGCAGACTACAGACACAGAAGGAATGTCATCTGATTCACTCACTGTACAATTCGTGGCTTGATTTTTACGACTTACATTTGAATTCGACAAATCTACCGTTGTTTCCGCCGAGATAATTTTCCTTTGCCGTCGTACTACAAACAAAACCCGGAGATAACAGCCAAACAGCAAGAAGAAGGAACCGTGGTGACCTACGACACCTATTACGATTACCATTTCTTGGTTTAAGGCAGGGTCCCAAATACAGGTATCGTCAGTTATATAGTTCTGTACACGGTCCATTATACATGGAGGTAACCATACCATTAATGTAAACAACCTGTTAATATAAAAAATAATCAATTTCATTTTCAAAAATTCCTGAACGATTATGCAATGAACCTGTTAAGTTTATTACCTACATTGTAGAAAAGATAGTTAGCGATGATTCCATTATGTCTCTAAGCTATGAAAGTTATAAATCAAAACTATACAATAACAATATACAATAACAAGAGGACCAAGGGCCTGAGTATAATTCAAACGCTTTAAAGGATCCATAGGAGTATAAAACAAAGTTACACAAACAGATAGATGATGACATGTTTCCTAAAAGCAAAAGAAGTATGATGATCAACGAAATAGTTAGTCTAGTAATCAATATAAAATCATAAAATAAATCTTATTTCCTAGCTTCTACTCGCCAGTATTAATACACTCCCATTTGTAACTATGACCATGAGCTTAAGCAAAACATAGTGTTTGAGCACATGTAGAAAACCCATCATAATTATTCTCTCTCACTTTGGCCTCTTTAGTCTTTGGAGAACATTTAATGTATAAAGATACTAAAGGCATTTTATCTGATTTTATTTCTTTACTATGTACAATTCAAGACAAATATGTTTAATTCCCAAATACATGTACTTTGAAATTAATGTATTTCAGAATTTTCTTGTGGGTATTACACAAGAAATCCGGATTTAAATTAATTGTTGCTGATGACCAAAATACATGTATGTGTCATGACCTTGACTAAAAGAAGTCATATTTCAAAAGATCAAGATCATATATTTAAGGGGCATTTATCTTCATGAGCCGCTATAAGCATAATACCAAAGAAATCCCAGTCAAACATTTATCTTTTTTACAAATGATATCATATACAAAAAAAAAAAAAAAAAAAAAAAAAAAAAAAAAAAAAAAAAATCGATGTTTGAAAAGACATGGAAAACTTTCTGATCTGAGAGGTCTTTGTATTAAAAAAGAGAGATAGGTTCCGAATCAGATTGACTGACGTCACCTAATATCAAGGAAACTCAAGAAGCGTTTCCCGAATCCTATTCCCGCAAAGTAAAGATCATCGAATGCTTTGAAAGTCTTGGTAATAAGAACTGAATTTTTGGTATAGCCAACATCAGTCTATAGTCATTTGATATAATATACGTCATTGTTAAGCGCACACAATTGTTTCACTGTAAATCAATGGTCTGAGAACGATTTCATTCAATTTTTTACAGAGTATTAGACTAGTATGGAGTTCTTTAGATTATAGATTGAATAATATACAGAATTTTAAGTATGTACTCGTAAAGAATTAAAGCATTGGAGATTTATAGGATCCAATCTAAATTTGATGCACACGAACATAGTGTAATATTTGGATGTTTGAATACACTATTTGGCGAAAAATGAATAATTATAATGCACATGTAACAATAAAGCTTTTAATCTTCAACAGGCTTGTAAAGATAACAGGTTTATGTAAATGTTATCTATATTTTTTTTATATTAATCATTATTTCAGCATCCTAGTTAAGCCTGACTTTAAGCCCATGGTTATAAAAATTGTCATCTTTACCATGTACAGGTCTTTGAAAAAACAGTTTTTTAACTCTTTAAATATTTCATTTTTAGTACTGTTAATCCCCATATAGTTGAGACATACTATTACTACAAAAGCTTTACTGTTTATTTTTAAGCGAGGAAAAAAATCATGAGTTACAAAACGTAGGTTACTGTTATATATAGTTGTCAATAATACAAATATATACGCGAGAATGAAATTTTCGCTAGCAGATGGCCTCCCGTAGCTACACCAGAATAAAGGCCTTGCCAATAAAAAGTTATTTACAGCATCAATATCATTTCTGGGTATATTTTGGAAAGATATAGCTAGAAATCAGAAGATAAAATGCCTACTTTTGGCTCAAATAGATTTTCTGTTTGAAACATAACCAGGAAAAGTAATGACCCGAATCATTTTTCAATGTGAAAAAAAGATTCGGTTCAATTTTCAGTAGGACAAGTAAACCGATATACACCGGTATGTCATGTATTGAAACCGTAATTAGCAGAAAACCATCATGGACACTTCCGCGTTAGTTAATGGTAATTGTTCCTAGTGAGAAATACTTTGATGACTTCTAAACTAAACTAAATTATATGGTCTTGGACATTTTACTTTGATAGCGGAACAGAATTGTCTAATAACAAAGCTATCAAACACCTCAAATGGTAATGGCCTATGAATCATAATTCATTGAGTTCAAACATATCTGATGAAAAGAAATGTTAGAGAGTAGTTTTTAAAAAAAAAACTGTCAATTTCATAATAATCGCCTTCACATCTTGATGTCTCGTTGTAAGCGTCGTTTTTGCAAAGTGACAAAATATATATTCCGTGGTATTCAATACTCTTTATTTACTTAAATGCTTCAACAAACAAAAGATTTCAAAAAATGTAACTCAATTAAAAAATTAAGTATTTATTACATAGTTTCGTGAAACAGATAATTTTTCCTACTGATGCTTTTAAAGAATATAAAAACACACATTTACAATTTACAAGAAGACAATTTTATAAAAGAAATCAATGAATCTATGAAAAAGAATACCTTGAAACTTTAATTTGTCTGAATGGCTTTAATGTATCAGATGGATGTTGAAATCGCGCATTAAGCGATTGAGGGGCAATATGAAAACCATCATTTCTTCTGTCTTCGACGATACAGAAGTGAAACAAGAATTAGATAGATTACATGATCAGTATGTACTGGTCCCCGCTGACAAAGCAGGTAACAACATTGTCTTTGTTTGTAGGGCTCATTATTTGAAATGTATTTTAGAGGAACTAGGATTTAATCCTGCTAGTGATAATCCAACTTATACCCATAGCTCCAAATTCTTCAAAACCATAAGTCAGTTTTAAATATTTTAAATATTCGCAACAATCAAAATGAATTTGACTTACCATACCTATACTAGATTCCAAAACTCCATAAAAATCCTTACAAACAAAGATACATAAGGTTCCAGTAAATGTTCTACCAAACCTCTTTCTTTACTCCTCACTGAAATATTTACAGAAGTGAAGGAGAAACTTCAGGAGTACTGTACAACAGTATATTCGAAAAGTGTAGTAAATCAGATGTGAACACTTAAAAATTCCAAGGAACTTTTAGAAAATTTGAAATCACAAAATTTTACTCAAATTGATAACATCAAAATGTACGATTTTTCAATACCTTATGCAACCATTCCCCACGATAAATTAAAATCCAGGCTTTTTGAGATCATAGACAGCTGCTTTTTCGATAAAAATGGAACTCGTAAATATACTTACTTTGTCAGTGGTTATTTTAAAAATTATTTTGTTAAAAAACATTCTGATTGTACACCCAGGTACTCTGAAGTTAATATTAAAAAGATGCTTGAGTTTCTGATTTACAATATCTATGTTGTTTTTGGAGATCAGGTCTTCCAACAATCTGTTGGAATTCCCATGGGTACTAATTGCGCCCCCTTATTAGCAGACCTATTTTTGTATTCATATGAAGCAGAATTTATTTAACTAATTTAACTAATTCTACAAGAGATGAGGAAAACACTTGCTGTGGCCTTCAACTCGACATTTAGATATATCGTCAACGAATTACCAATTAGTAATAGTTACTTCCATTCATATATCAACTCGATATATCACAGTGAACTTGAAATAAAAGATACCACAGAGTCCGACACATCTGTTTCATATTTGGATATTATACTAGAAAAGACAGTAATGGTAACCTAAAACTAAGTTTTATTTTTTTTTTCAATCGTCAACTTCCGTTACTTATGGAGCAATATATCCTTATCACCTGCATATGGGTTTCTTGTCTCCCAGTTTATTCGATGCGCAAAAGCATGCTCTACGTATGAACAATTTCTAAAACGAGGCAAGCTATTGACAAACAAGTTGATGAAACAAAGATATCAACAGACTCGTTTGAACTCATCATTTCCCAAGTTTTATGGTCTATTCAATGACCTTGTCAGCAAATACAACCTATCATTAAGTCAAATGCTGTCTGACATTTTTCATTCTAATTGGTAGGCCATATTCTCTACGGATTTTCCCGTTTTTTCCCGATCAGGACAATGAACACACGGCCGGTGTGACCGGTCGGCAGGAGATGTTCACTCCTCCATGGCACCTGATCCCACCTCTGATGATGAAAAATCTGAATCTCATTTACTTACGGGGAAATATATATTTTATACGTTTCAATTTTTATTTTTAGCGACCTTACAGGTTATAAACACTTCCGAGATTGATGTTTTTATCTTCTTGTTATAAAGTTCAAAATGGTGTGCTTTTATATAATTAATAATTTGGCTTGTCAGATCAGATTTGTTAACCTGATGGAATTTCGCATTGATATATAGGAAAAATCATTGAATCGTTAGCAGTCTTTACTGAATTGTTCTTAATGTTTCTGTCTGATATTAAATGCAAATCAAGACTCTGAGGCATGCTAAAAACATGTCCTCTGAAAGAATGGAATCATATATAGATATTTTATAGGAATTGCAGAATTTGTGAAAAAATACCTCGTAAGTAGAACTAAATGATTCATGAATTCAGCTTTATAGTAAAATTTAGCTGAAATTGTTTTGTGTTATACAAAAGATGAAAAATATGATACAAAAATCAAAGTGTCCAGTTTTATACCTTATGGACCATTTATATTCATATCAATGTAAAGCAGTAAATAGAGAACTATTATTTTAAAAAATTCTTACCACACACCACAAATCATTCCAAGAGCCTTCTTTTTGTTATGGTGTGATTTATAATGTATCGGCCAATTCACTGCCCAAAACCGGTCAATGGAAATAATACACAGCGTGAAGACGGACGCGAAAGTCATCCCATAATCAAAAAAGATCCAAACACCACACATGATCCTACCAAAGGGCCAGTAACCCAGTATATTGTCCAATGTGTAGAAACTCATAGCTGTGACAGCTACTGAAACATCCGTCAAAGCCAAATTTACTACGTAAAAGTTAAACACCGTCTGTAGACGTTTGTTACTTTTGACGGCGACCAACACGAGGATGTTGCCAAAAATAGTAACCAGGACAATTAAATAAAGGAAAACGCCAAGGACGATTTTACTCCAATGGACATTGGTTTCGTCGGTATTCGGAGACGATGACTGATTCATTGTTTCTTCTAAAAACGGATTTTTCAATCTGTCGTTACTTAATCTACAGCAACACGCTCTGTTTTATACTGTTATGTCAATACTCGAGGGAAAAAAATCCATGCATATATATATCATTGAGCTGATCATTATAGGTTTTCATCTTATATAGCGTTTGGAACTTTAATTTTCCTTCTGCTAATACATTAGAGATACTTTAGGGATTAAAGAGATTACAGTTTTAGTTACATGTAAAACAATATGAAATGTCTCGTTCACTAAGCAGTAACATTCTTTTTTTTTTTTTTTAAATTTTAAAAAGTGGTCTGACAGGAGTAGTTCAGTATTCAGTACGTTAGCGTTCCGTACTATATTGCACTAGTCACAAATACATTCAGTGTTAGTGGAAACAGTGAATACGAACTCCTTTTATTATGGTTTTAAGCTTTTCCATTTATATCTTTATGTACATTTTTCTTAAGCCTCTTACTCTAGCGTTTTATAAACAGGTTAAACAGATTTCATCATCTTCCACGAGGAAATCAATACATATCTGCAGAAACCCTGTAAATGCACTGTTTGTACTGCCTGACAAAAAGGAAATTTTGAGCATCTTTTAAAAATCGGTGACTCTTAAGTAGAAGAATATTTCTATACCCCCACCCCCACCTCAATCAGTTAAATTTTCAATACCATATATATAAAAAATTGTTCTGAAAAAAAAAAACAGAAATGAAGAAAATATTACCTACCCTATATTATAAAAAAAATTTAAATCACATAACCAATAAATAGGAAGCTTGGTTCATCTTGAAGATTGATTGATTGATTGTATGTTGTTTTACTTCCCGTTCGAGAATTTTTCACTCATATAGAGATGTCACCATTTACCAGTCAAATGCTTCAAATTTAGACGTTAACTAGGCACTCAGGGCCAATGATCAGTTAGGGTTCTTCGTGCCAACGCCTACAGTGACACGGGGCCTCTGTTTTTAAGGTTTCATCCAAATGACCCGCAACTTTCACTTCAAAGGGCGGAGCGCTTGGCGAAGGAACAGTTGCTATCTATTTTTTATCGACTTAGGTCAGTCAATCGTGGCCGTGATTCGAACCCACGATGTTGGCACGATAAAGAACCCTCACTGCTCAATGGCCCTGAGTGCCGAGTAAAGATCTAAATTTGAAGCCCTTTACCGATATATGGTGACGTCTTCGCACCCGTGAAAATATCAAAAAATCCTGTTCCACTCGTGAAATAAATTCCAAATTCATCTACAAAACATTGAATATCCTCTATATATTCACTGAATTTGAAGCCATGTTCACCAGAGCGTCAGTGTGCGTGCAGCGTCATTATGCCGTCACAATCAATATTTCGAACAACGTTGAAAACAATGGTTGCAAAGGCCGGAGCAGCTGTACAGGAAATGCTGTTAGACAAGCCTATAGCAGGATTATTTTCCAAACATTTCGATGTCTTACAAACAGCGAAAGGAAAGCTCTAGTAATAAGTTATAAGTTGTAATCTTTACATTTTTTTAATTTTGTTAACAACAGACGTTCGTTAATGAAAATGGAAACGTCAATGTTTTATTCATTCAAATCCTGACTATATTATAATAATAATTATGGACTCTTTTGGTGGTGAATATGGTTTGTTATTCACCAGAAAAATACCAATAATTGACCAAGGCGAAGCCGAGGTCAATATTGATATTTTTCTGGTGAATAACACACCATATTCACCACAAAAAGGGTCCATAATTGTATATTATATCAGTTTTATTGTTATAAGTGACTATGACTTGTTGAAATGTCAGGAAATGTAATTTACTCAATCGATGAATAATCTCAGTACTGAAACCAAATGAAAATTGATTTTTACATTTTGTGTTGATTTTGACGCAATATGTATTTAACGCAAATGAAAAAACCCCCGCATTTTATTACATTTATATATACATGTACATGTACTATATATATTTAAGCATTGAGTTCTTATTTTTGGATATCGTCGGTCCAATAACATCATCTGGCTAAAGAATTTAATGCTTATATATTTACATTATCTAACTTTCTCTGTTCCTAATTGTTAATTTCGTTAATCTTTATTATGAATTTAGCGTCTTTCAGAACTGAGGCTCGTAACATAAAGCCTGCTAAGTTTTTGACTTAAATAGGGTCATAAGTATGACTTAGATGCAGTCTTAGAACCTGCCTAAGCACAGTTCTACTTAAGTATGTCTTGTGCCGTAACATAAATTAACCAGTGTCAGTGAATATCAGCAAGCAAACAAGATATGGTTCTTCACAATTCAATGAAGAGATCAAGGGAAATTGTTTTCGGAAGTTATTTCTTTTGATGTCCCCCATTGAGGAAGTCTCTCTCTCTCTCTCTCTCTCTTTAAATATCCTTTTTAAGTGAAAATACAAAGCTACCATCATTCACTATGAGTAAACAGTTGTACTATAGTACAATTGCTTACTTATAGTGAAAAGTGTTCATATTATATTACATAACATTCTGCATGTATGCCATGTTTAGAGTGTTATTGGGATCAATGTTCAATAAATCTGTAAATTATACCCCTGCTTAAAAAGCGTCCGTTACGTTTTGTGGTACCCATCTCTTATCCGCAACCCCTCTTGTACCACTGAATAATATATAATAATACTTTCACAGAATCTTTGCTATATAGTACCATTGTGCAACTCCTATGCATCTTTTGATCGGACAGATATATTGCAGGTTTTCAATAGCAAAACATAGTCACCGCCATTCTTCCTATAATATTGAGGGGTACCTATCTCTTATCTGCAACTCCTCTTATATCACTGAATAAAATTTAATAATAGTTTCAAAGAATCTTTGCTATATAGTGTCATTGTGCAACTCCTATTTAATTTTTGATCGGACACATATATCGGGTTTCCCTATAGCAAAACATAGACACCGCCATTCTTCCTGTAATATTGAGGGGCACCCATCTCTTAGACACAACTTCTCTTACACCACTGAATAAAATTTAATGATACTTTCACAGAATCTTTGTTACATAGTGCCATTGTGCACCTCCTATCTTATTTTTTTTGATCGGACACATATCTTGGAGCTCCAATGGCAAAACATGGACCTTGCCATTATAAACATATGGAAGGTGGGGGATATCAATTGTTAGCTCAATGCTCGCAGTTCTTCTAGTTTAAACTTACTTTTAAGCCGCTATTACTTGCATGTTAACTTCTCCGTGTTCCACCTTCCCAGGAGGAAGCTTGAAACCGTTATATACCGCTATTACATGTGATTACACACGAATATTTATTTTGCTGAATATATAAATCAATGTTGTGTGCCGAGATGTAACAATTAATAGTTCTTTTTAAATATGACTTGTTAAATTGTACTTAATACTTGTGTTCCTGGAGTATTGAAATTGCATATAGTTCCTACTGTGTATCCTACCGCGCAATGACAAGGTTTCTTTTGTGTTATAGGGTATTGGATGTTCTAGATTTCCAAGGGATTTCTTAAAGAAAACAAGATGTGTTTGTGACACACTGATTCCCACGTATGGTAACTTATAGCTGAGGTTAAACATTCTCTAATGCAAATCAAATATGTTGGTACCCAAAGTAAGGTCTTATCTCGAGAAATATACCTGTGAAATATGAAAGCTCTAGTAGTAACCATTGAAAAAATATATGAAAAAGGTTTGTTTTTTTCAAAAGTAAGTCAAACATCAAGGACAAGGTCAAATGGTGCCGAAGGAAAGGCCTTTTCACAAGAAATACACATGTGGAATATAAAAGTCCTAGCACCAACCGCTCAAAAGGTATGGCCAAGGTTTTACGAAAGTATGTCAAACTCCTAGGTCAAGGTCAAAGGGTCAAAGTTGCATTGTTAATATTCAAAGTAAGATCTTGTCACAAGGATTACACAAGGCATATGAAGTATAAAAGCCTTGGCACCAGCTAAAGTTAAGGCCAAGGTTAAAGTTGGGTTACATTTTACAAAACTGTCTCAAACTCCAAAGTCAAGGTCAAATATATTGGTTTTATCACAAGGAATACACATTTGAAATATGAAAGCCATAGCTCCAACCAATCAATAGTTATAGATTTTATGGACAAACAAACAGACAGATAGACGGATGGACAGAGCAAAACCTATATGCCCCCGAATCTTCGATTATTGGGGCGTAAATACACTGAATGTAAATATAATTGCTTCGTCATTACAGAGAGATAATTTTGTTCTTTAATGCATAAAATGCATGGAGGAATGTTTCAATGTCGAGATACAAGTACCCTTTAAGTTGACCCCCTGGTGCACACACTATTAGTATCACTCGATTTCCTTTCTATAGAATTCTAATGAATATCATAAACCATGCAACAAAGGAAAGCATTTGTTTCAAAATTCATGGTAAATCAGATATTAGGTATTTGTTTCATCAATCCTTATAGCACCTGCGCCATGAATAAATACTGTCAAAGAAAAATTTACCATCAAAATCGTAGCTTCATTTCTGAGATGTTTTATGAAATCCTAGGGTATTTTTTAATATTACGTAAAAACTTTTTTAAAAAAGACAGAAATTGCAAACCTTCAAGCTACATTGCACAAAATGATTGACTGCGCGGTAAGGAAGAAAGATTTAGTGCTCAATCTGTTTGAGATACATTCTTCTCAAATGCACTAGTATCCATGATCTTTCATAAAACCAGTAAATTGCATGTGAAAGGCTGTTAAATCCATCCATCGATTTTATTACTTACTGTAAATGAAAAAGTCATTTGACATATGAAGTTATTGACATTTTTCATAGATTGGTAGGAGGGTACGGTGCTTTTAGTCAGAGCTTGTGAGGTAGAGGTGCAAGTCCAAAAGAGATGGGCAAACAAGGCGTGCAAAATGTCGATAGCTTCAAATATATAAAACTCACATTCAATTGATGTCTCCTGACTGCCCCTTCCTAGAGCAGAGTCACAAGGATCTATATTACATGCTACAAATAAAG